TCCATCTGCGCCGAATATTCCATTTCCCGGAGAATTACAATCCGCCCGCACTGCTCTGGACAGCCCACCATTCTCAGTGTCATCGTCATTCACACCTCACACTCCAGGTCGACACAGGACTACTGCTAGTAAAGGGTCGCCGGAGGGTCCAGGCAGTTCCGAGTCGGTCTCATCTAAGTCGAACGTGCCCTATGGCTTGCCAGCGACTCCTCGTGCTATGCGTCACCCCAAGTACAATGGTTACGAGGAGACTGTAGCAGTTCCTCCCATGCCCGATAGTACTATGCTTCTGAGCGACGCAAGATATCAAGGAGATGCAGAGAGAATTGGCCGTTCGATGTCCGTCCCGGTCCCAGAAAGCCAGCCGTCTGGCCTAGTGCCCACTGACTTACCAATGCATCCACGATTCAACCCGAGGCTACCCCGAAGCCGCTCGACAAGTCGGTCACGGGGTAAGGGTCATCAGCGAGAGAATAGTGGAAATGGCTATGGCGGTTCGCCTGTCACAGTGAGCATCGAAGAGACCATCGAGAATGGACTTTTGATGCAGCAGGCCGAAAACCCTCCCATTTTGCCGCAGCTTCAACATTTAAATCCGCCGCCACCTCCGCCGCCACCAATTCCTCCTTTGGCCTCTCCACGCCAGTCCTCGGGCACCATTGATATCGCGTTCGATAACGAGGACTTTGGACGGCTTCTCCCCCGCGCGATGACTGCCGCCCCGGCACTGAGCACTGATGTCCGTCCCGGCTTGGAACGCCGCCGCATGTCCTTTGAGCATCGACGAGGCCGCAGCGTGAATGAGAGCTTAAGCACGAAGATCCGCAACTTGACACGGGTGGGGCATAACAAGGGCAGCGAGCCCTGGGTGTCTGCGGAGATCCACATCCCTTATGAAAGCGTGCAGGTGATGGATGGTCGACTATAGAGCAACCTATACCATCACCTGGCTCATGCTTTGGTTCGATGATCACGGTAGTTGAACCCTTATGACTAACGAATTGATTTATCTGCTTTTGCCTTTGCTTCTTGTTCTGTGATTTTCATCTAATATACAGCACAACCTTCCGCCATCCCGTTTCTGGGAATGTATTATTTTTGATGTATCGTTGCCTCTGATAACCAGGTTGAATGTGCTATGTCTGATCACGTCACCGAAATGGTGTATCCTAATTTACTCGTTCTATCACTTCGATTACTTTTCTTTATTTCTCTACATTCCTTAACCACTATCCCGTATCTCAGGAAAGTCCTTTCCAGAATTTCAATTGATGCGAGTCTCTCTGTGGCTTACCATGCCGTGTGATCACAGCAGCTTTCTTCTGAAGGAGGTCAAATAATAATGCGACTAGACAGAGTAGATGGCATCTGAAGGTGAGATGAAATGTTTCGGTCGTATACATACAGAAGAATACTTAAGTTACACATGCACCTGGTAGGGTAGCCAGGACTCGTAAGGATAAAAAGCGCTTGAAGACAGTTCACGATCTCGGAGCACAAGCCTCTCTAACTACCAACTGCTCCATCTGCCACTTCTCCTCCCCGAATCCGACCCGGCGTTCCGTTCAGCCTCGAGCATGCGGTCGAAGTCCGCCTGAGCCCTCTCGCGCTCACTGTGGCTCTCATTCTCGCTCTCACGCTCGGCCCGAGACCATTCAGCCTGCTGCGGCCTGGACTGCGGTCGCGCGGCGTTCATCCGCAGCCGGTCCCACGCACTTCCGCCCGCGGGTCTGCGATGCTCCAACGCAATGGGACTAGCATCGTCGTCGTCGTCGTCGAAAAAGTCACCACCACTGGAGGAGGAGGGAGTCTGCCGCTGCTGCTGCGTTCTCGTATTCCAAGCCCTCGCGCGTGGTGTAACCTCACTGTAGGAGTTCGTCCTAGAACCATGCTCATCACCACCACCGCTATTGAAACCATAATCCTCCTCCATCCCGTGGGCCACGGGCGACCCATCATCGCCAGCACCAGCACCATCCACCTCCCTCGGCCCCTCCGCCAGCTCCCCAGCGGTAACCAGCGCATAAGCCGCCGAAATCTCCCGCCTCCTCTGACCCTCCTCCGAGGTATCCCCGCCGGAGACCGCCATCGCCCCAGGCGAAGTACTCAAGCGCACAGCGTGCTTCGACCGCTCCATCTCCTCCCTGACGCCCTCGAGCCGCGCATCGCCCCTCCACATGGAGATCTCGCCGAAGGTTGCCCACGAACTGGCCACGAAATCCGCCACCAGCGTCCAGACAGCGACCTTGAACAACCGTGCCGCGGCCATGGGGCGCCCGCCGCCCATCGCCCCAGCGTCGCCCATCATCTGCCAGCCCCGCTTGAACCCCTCGAGCGTCAACACTCTCTTCCCGGCGGAATTTTCCTGAACCTGCGGCGCGAAGTAGGTCTCCCAGTCCGCCGAGTAGCGCAGCACGTAGGCCTGATGCGCCAGGCCCGCGAGCGCGCCCAGCGGAATCCCCAGACTGCTGCGGCGGGCGCTCTGCGCCATCATCTCCAGCATCGCGTCCATCTCCGGCTGCGTGGGGGACCGCCCCGTGTGCCGCCGGATGTTCTCGAGGCGGCGGTAGGCGCCCATCTCCGTCTTGGCGACGTAGTTCGTCCGGCCCCAGAGGCCGATGTACAGGGTGAAGGGGTTCGGGTTGCGGATCAGCGATTCGTCCACGCGTAGGGGCTTGAAGGCGTGCTCCAGGTATTGTTTGGTCGTCGTGCCGTTGGGGAGCCGCAGGAGCCGCGGCGGGCTCAGTCGGTTCGGCGGGAATTGCTGGTGCTGGGGTTCGGTCCCCGCCGGTGGGACCGGAGGGTTGTGGTCGCTCATTTTCTGGGGGTGTTTCTGCGGTGGTTTGAGTGAGGTAAGTTTCTTTGTGGGATTTGTGTGAGTTTTGAGTGAGTTTGGGAACTTGTGTCGTTTGGGAATATTAGATGAAGCTGAGTAGTGAGAGAGAGGTGCGGAGAACGGTGGTGACGGAAGAGGAGAAAGCTATAGCTTTGTGGTGAGGTCAGCTACTGCTTCTTGTGCTTGCGTGTTAGTCAGCTTGTGCTTGCTTATGTCTGATCTGACGTTATACTCAGTAGTTACCACGAACTCCTCTCTCTCTCTCTCTTTTGATCTTACAACATGGCAAGAGACCCTACGCAGCTTGCTCGAGGTCCATAGAGCTACTAAAATATGCAAACTCAGATTTTTGATTTACACTGGTATTATGAATGATCAACATACTGACTTCAAACCCTGCCCCCTACTATACCATTAATGAAGTACTAGAATTAGGCATTTGAGCCAACCCTTGCAGACTTCAATTTACCTAGCCAAACGAGCTATCTTCCATTTCACCTTGCAAGCAAAGCCTCAGACCTACCACTTCTCAACATAGGGTCGGAGATCCAGCTCAAACCCAAACGTCGTGCGTGGCTGACTATGCAAGTGCCAATACGACTCGGCGATCTGTACAGAAAGTCAAATATTAACCACCGATTTCTCAGATTCTTCGAGTCACGAAAAGAGAATGGCTACTCACCGCCTCAGGATCCAACTTTGCATCCTCATGCTCGAACGTCCACGCCTTCGTGCGCGGGATATCAATCACCCCATCGACGATCACATGCGAGACGTGCACGCCCTTGGGCCCGAACTCGCGGGCCAGCGACTGCGCCAGCGCGCGCAGGGCGAACTTGCCCGCCGCGAAGGAGGAGAAGTTCGCCGAGCCCTTCACGCTGGCCGTGGCCCCCGTGAAGATGAGGGTCGGCGGGTGCTGGAGATTCGTGGCCTGGAGGAGCAGCGGGAGGGTCTCCTTGGCGAAGTTGAAGGCTCCTTTGCTGTTGTAGATGTTAGCCATGCGTCCACAAAAAGAAAGGTGCGGTTCTAAGCTTGGAGTCTCGGGTTGGGAGGGAAGGAAGAGGGTTTATCTACTAACCCCTGCGACTCGAACCCGGACGAGAACTCCTCGGCCGTCAGCTCGAGGAACGGCTTGCGCACGAAGCCACCTCCGACGTTGAACACGGCCGCGGCGAGCGGGGAGCCGGTGAACTGCTTCGTGATCTGCTCGAAGGTGGATTTGACGTTCTGGGTGTCGGAAAGGTCGGCGCTGAAGCCCGTGGCTTGGCCGCCGGCGGAGTTGATCTCGTCGACGACGGACTCGTAGTTGGCGGGGTTGCGGGCGAGCACGACGACGGAGTAGGCTTTGGCAAAGCGGCGGGCAATGGAGGCGCCCTGCACGTTATCTTGTTGTTAGTCTGTACATCGGAACCGTTTGTAAAGGTGTGGGAGGAACCGTACTGTTCCAGGGCCAACGCCGGCGACGATGGCGAAAGGTTTAGCAGCGGCCATCTTTTGGGTTTGGATTTGGGTTTGGGTCCTGGTTTGTCAAGAACTGAGTCGAAGATATATCGAGAGAACAGGAAAAGAATCTGAGTCTGGATATGAGTCGAAGATATACTCTAACTTCGCTAAGCATACTCCGCATTCTCCTCATGTCGTCATTTGGATCGGGGAGTTGCAAACGCCGAGATTAGAAATCACTGGGTCGGATCACTAATCGCATCATTGCGAGCATGGCTGTCGAGATCCGGCGATTGATTGAATAATGGAGCTATTGTCAGCGTTACAGCCACCTGCTAGAAGTGCAGAAGGCTAGCCAGGGAGCACGTAGCAGTTGTACCGTAGCATAAGTCATGTTGGTTGATTAGTGATTGCGATGGCTGCTCCATGAAGCTCCTGCCTCAGGCATTAAAAGCCCTGCACGATAAGCCCGGGGCGATAAGGATCCAATGGCTTAATCTCCAACTTATCAGTTTTTTTCTCTCCGCGCCTCGATCAACACTTTGGCATTCATTCTACCTCAGCTACTCTTATTTTCTCTTACAGGCTTGTTCTCAGCCAAATCATACCCTGACTTTGCACTTGACACAAATACTGAACTATATACCCCATACCCCATCCCCCCAAACGCCATCAACAAAAACCACAGATCCAAACACTAAACCCACCCCCAAGAGTAAAAATGCCCTCCTCACAAGAGGACTCCCTCCTAACAGACCTCTGCACAATCTGGTAAGCCCCCGATCCATACACCCACCCAAGCCCAAACCCCCAAGATCCTAACACTAAATCAATTGGATGAAAAATACAGTCACCTTCAACCCCCCAAATACCGCTGCCCCCGATGCAACACGCGCACCTGCTCGCTGCCCTGCACGCGGCGCCACAAGCTCTGGTCGCAGTGCAGCGGGGTGCGTGACCCCGCGGCCTACCTGCGGCGCAGCGAGCTGGCCACGGAGACGGCCTTCGACCGCGACTTCAACTTCATCACCGGGATCGAGCGGTCGATCGAGCGGGCCGGGCGCGACGCCGAGAACCGCGGGATCCGGGTCGATGGGGATGCTACCGGATTTGTGAGGGATTTGGCGGTCGTGGGGTTGGATGATTCGCCTTCTAGCACGGGAACAGGCAAGGGGGTGGAGGGGGAGGGAGGGGAGGTTGGTGGGGGCGCTGGGGGCGCTGGGGGGAAGAGGAAGAGGGGTGCTGCTGTTGCTGCTGCTGTTGCTGCTGGTGCTGGTGCTGGTGCTGCTGGTGCTGGTGCTGGTGCTGGTGGCCCTGCGAAAGGGGAATCGGCGTTCTTGCGGGAAGTGAGAAATGCAGGCGTGAAGGTTATTCGGGCGCCGAGGGGAATGAGTCGGAATAAGGAGAATGGGTCGAGGTGGTTTGCTAAGTACGTTCCCGTCCCCGTCGCTTTTACTCTTATATTGTTTGTTTGGCTGGGAGCTGCGGTGGATGGATGATGGCTGACTTTCTACAATGGTTTACAGACAGCAATGCTTGGTGTGGACGGTGGAGTGGATAGGGGAGACCGGGGAGAAGCGCACGAGGAACTGCAGGGATTCGGTTCCGATTTCCATCTCCTATGATCGAGCCTTTCCTCTCAGTAGGGAAGAACGCGAGAAGGAAAAGGAACAGGAGCAGACGGAGACACAGACACAGAACCAAGAGCAGGGAGAAGATCAGGGCCAAGCGCAACAACAGGAACTGCCTTCTTCAACAACGGAGAACGTCGCTCAGCAACCTGAGGATATCCCCTCTGTTAATACTACAACCACCGAATCCAGCACTACTGCAGAATCAACAGCACCAACCACAATCGACGAACCACACCCACCCACTACCACCTCCTCCGAACAAGAAGAAACGCACGCGATCCTCCCCCATCGAAACGTATACTTTTACCTCCACCGGCCGCGGACAGCGACCAAACATCCCGTCCTGATCCCGCTCGCCCCCAGCATGACTCTCACCGCCGCCCTGCACGACCACACGGTCATCGAATTCCCTACTATCTATGTACTACCGGACTCGCCCGATGCGTTACGCGCGCAGGGATCCGACGCCCGGTATCTACTGGAAGACGAGTATATTCGCACCCACGCGCCGGTGGAAGAGAACAGCGCGAGTCCGGCGGAGTCGGAGGTCGAGCAACAGGCCCCTGCCGGTATCGACTTGGGGAATGTCGACGAGAAAAAGGTCTTGGAAGTGCTCAAGAAAGATCTATTCGAGCCGACGACGCTTGGGTGACACAGATCTATGATAGGATGACAGGAAACCGGGGGAATTGTCATAGACGAGGATTGGGATACATTTACCTAGCCATGGTTTTTCATATTATGAGCGTTTTTAAGAATCTATCTGCATGTTTACTGCTTGTTAGCTTGATCCACAATTGCAGGATTGTACGGAATTTATCTGGGTTGGGACGATCGACCGCGAGCACCCTCTAATAGGAGGATCGATCGTTGTAGAATCGTCTGGTAGCACACCCAGCTCAGTCCGTTCGGAGCAGATCGAGCCTAGGTCTTTGTTAATCAAGAGAACAGTTGATTGCTCAATGAATCGAAAACGAGTATCGCTAAAAAACACAATACAGAGCATGGGTATCTATAAGCAATCATTCCCAATGAAATCCGAAAACGCCGTTCAATGCTGCGGCCAGGTGAAGGCCTGTCCGATGGTCGATAACTCCAGCCAATGATGCCAAATAAAACGATCGAACTTGTCATGAGGTTACGCTGTAGCAATCCTTAGGGCACTCCAAGCCTGCTTGCGCAGACTGTACACCTTCCAGAAACCTGGTCAAGGTAGGGAGGGGGTACAATACAAATCTAGCCAAGGATCGGGCTGACGCTCAGCCACTCGTAGCAACATGGCTACTGCTACTAGGCCGGTTACACGGCCCGCTTGGTCCACCGAGTAGGGCGCTTGTTCTGGCAGACGTAGTACCCAGATTCAACAAGGTGAATCAAAGGAGCTGGGCCGTTCCCACTCCTATCTAGCGTTGAATGTTGATGGGTGAATCAACATTCTTTGTGGGCATCGACCCTTCGAGACCAAAGATCTCCTTGAAGATCGAATGGCTAATCAACAATACCACACACCCTCTACCCATAGGCCACGACACCCGAGACGTTGAGAAAGGGGTCAAGCCTCAGAGCAAGCAATCTGCGCGTACTCCATGGTACAAACGTGTGTGGAATCCATCGAGATAATCACAACTGCAGTGTGTTATCTCGGGAGAAAACCAGTGTCCAATGGACGGTCATCAAGGTAGAGCCTATGGGTACAGGCTGTAAAAGTGTGGCTGAAGAGTTGAACCTGCTGATACTGTTCGTAGCTGTGATGAGCCCCTCAGGTCTCAATCCCAGTCAATGGACTGGTAGCATCAGATGCAGTATCGGGAAGCTCAGGCTCTTCCACCTTCTCGGGAACACCTGAAGAGACGGAGACAACCTCCGTAGCAACAGTGTCGGGAATGGTTCGTTCGTCATCAGCGATCTTGCCGTGGCGGAAGCTGGACCTGAACTCCGAGGGCGAGACATTCGACCGTTGCTCAGGGCGCGTAGACCTGAGCTTAATCCGACCGCGCTCCAGCGCTCGAAGCAAGGTACCGACTTCCTCCGACACGATGCCTCTGAGCTTGCTCATAGTATCATCGGAGACTTCCGAGTGAGCGTTCCATCCCAGTTTGTCTGATTCCTCAGACGTTAAAGACTTGGCCTCCAAGGATGGGCCATCAATAAGCCGCTTCAAGGTGGTCGGCGACATGTTGTTCGGTCGGCGAGGCATCTTCACCGGCTTCTCCTTCGCACTGGAAGCTGCCGAAGCAACTTCTTCTTGCTGCCGCTTCGGAGGACGAATGTGGAGAGTCAGCCCTTCGCCAACTTCGTTGCGGATTTTGTAATAAACCAGCCCCAGCGTTGCTGCCAGCGCCTGATGCGCAGCCTCAGGATACAGACGAACAGCCTCCGCGCGTGTAAGAGTGGACGGATAGTCACTCGAGTCACTCGAGTCACTGTCGGTTGCAGTGGCGTACACAGGCTCCGTCTGGTGCATACGGCCCCAATATTCATACCCTCCAAGCTGGTAGAAATCGGCCAGTTGAACCAAGCGGTTGACTAGAAACACTGTTAGATGAGTGCGGGGAATTCACCTGCCAATCGCACTTACTCCTACTTCTTTTCTTGAGACACCAGAACCGCCATACAGTACGAGGAAAGTATTCGGGCCATTGTAATGATCCGTCGTCTTCTACCACCGGAACAGGCGTGATCGGGGCGTGAGTGGTATGGGCCAGCGAGTTGAACCGAACCCGCTCCGAATGCTTCATACGGGACTCGATGAGAGAGAACCGATTGAAGACGGACGTCAGATGGCGTGACGTCTCATGTTGGAGAGTGATCAAATCGGTACGCAGTTGACTGATCGTAGCGTGCAGCTTGCTGACTTCGACGCGGCATCCACAGACATCGGTTTGCAGATGTTCGACATCTGACTGGATCTGATCCACGTTCTTGGACAAACGGTCGACATCACTGCGGAGGAAGACGGTCTCATTACCGGTCTGGCCGATGCTGGATTTGAGCTGCGAGATCCCCGACTTCAACTGGTCGACGTCGGTTTTCAGGGCGACAACGTTCAGATCGATCCGATTCGAGACGGATCGGTTGGCTTCGAATTCGCGTCGGATATGTTCGTCTTCACGGTTCCGCCTGTCGACGTAGCCATCCTTGGTCAAGACACTGGATCGAAGTTCCAAAAGGCGAGAGTCGAGATAAGTCAAGCGGTCGTGAATATGAGACAGGGTGGGGTCGGAGAGTATTGGGGGTGTGGATTCATGTACGAGAGATAACCTCGGGCTCGAGACCGGTATCGACATGCTCGAGGTGCGAGAAAGACTACGTTCCAGGGTGGTAGTCATGGCAGATTCAAGGAACGGTCGGGAGCCGACCGTGACAACTGGTTAATGGTGGGCGATGATGTGTGGGTTTTCGAGGTGCTCTGGGTCTCTTTCCGATCCAATATTCACAAGAGGTCCATTTTTGTTGCCTTTTTTGGAGGGTTGTGAAGATAAAAATCACAGGGTATGATGACGAATATGGTGGTGGGTGGGTTTGGGAGGTGATGATGAAAGAAGAAAGGGAGACGGGATGAGTGAGGCGAGGCGAGAGAAGGAGTAGGACTGTAGGACTACTAGGACTGATTGTAGGACTGATCTTGCAACGCAGCCCCCCTTGGTTGGCTTACTCTGCTTGGTTTTTCGTGGCACCCGCCGGCTGATTCTCCCAACCCAGTCTAGCGCCTGACCCCTCGTTCCTTCAACCTCGTCACCAACGAACCAACTGATCACAATCATTGGATGGGGAATTTATGATACCGATCAGTTATATCCTGAGTCAGTTGCAGTCATACTAGATGACATTCTCGCATCTACCAGATCAAATTGGTGTGTCTCTGGCTGGGATTTAAGATAAAAACCGTCATGATGGCCATACACCGTGAACGGTAACTTATGGTACGGAGGGTGACAATACCAAAGGAACGGGAAGGTCGGGAGCTTGGCAGGCCCTACAAGCTGCAGCTGACTGCCTCCTGCTGCCTGCTGCCAATCACTGGGGGGAAAACTGATGTTTGCCACGCCGCCTTGGAGGGGGTATCCGCTTGCAGATTGGTTGCTCAGCCCTGTGCTGCCTCTCGTATCTACCGCTGCTTAGTGCAACCACAGGCCCTACGCCGTTCCCATACTGACTTCATACTGTATCATTCCCGTTCTATACCGACACTGGTTATTTGCGAAGAGCGCTTCGCAACTCTATAAGGGCCTGAGCAAGGATGACGAACACTGATTAACTAATTAGCTGAAACTCCGTACAACATTAAGCAACCTGATTTAGTGTCCCTAAAAAGTAGTCACATGATTTGCGCTTCGTCAGATGATAGTACAAGACCCCCCCTCTCGCTGTAGTGTCAGGTCGTAGCTATATCTACAGTACATTTAAATTGGTGCTTGGAAAGATATCTGAACAACGTCAAACAGCCGTATAAATAGTACCTCTAACAGCTATATAAGCAGGTCTACCAGTAGCTACGTAACTACATCCACGAATTTAGATAATCAGGCTCTAGGTTCAACAGCTATATTGATTCGTGCTTGATTAGGCCTACGGCTACTCAGAACATAAGGTCAAAAAAGCGTGGGTACGAGCCCTACTAAGCCCGCTGAGGGCGCTTTAACAATGCCTCTGGCCAAGGGAGGAGGCCGCAGGTGAACCGAGTAACTAACTCGTAATGGTTGTTCATCATAGGGGATTATTGCCGGTGGTATAGTGTGGATGCTCTGGCTTGAAGTATACCTGTCGGTGGTCATAGACCACTAACCTTAGTAGACACGAGCTATATAACGCATCTATAGTCTAACCAATAACTTAGTCTAGGTTCTTACAGTCCCACCGGCCATTGCAGCGACGGAAACACGCATGCAAACGTTGGGGGGTGCAGCTGTAGTTCCGAGGGGGCGTAATCCTCCATACAAACTGGGCCTCTTTATAAACTCCATGGCCGACCTACCAACAAATGCCACCAATATCGCGGTATGTTCCTTCTAAGTGTTGCAACCATCTGGCTCCCCCACAGTGGCTGTTTACAAGCTTATAACTACATCATAATCCTCCGAGCATGCGGCAAGTCACTGCACCAACGCTCCGCGCCTGCCTTCGGAAGTTTTGTCCGAGTATATACAAGCATGTCCATCATAACCGCATAGATCTCAATCCAAAAGGCCACGAAACAACCCCGTCGCCAGACAATCTGCAGTCTGCAGTCTGCAGCTCTATACTTACCCCACACAGTCACTCCTTCAGCATCCTTCCTATTCCTCCACATCCACCGCCACCATGAGACTCTCCTTGACCTCCATCCACGCCAGTCTTTCCCTGATAACAACACTAAGCAACGTACGCTGGACCACAGCATCGACATCTAAAAACAACACCCCGATCGACCCCCAGCAATGCGACTGCTACCTCATCTCCGGCCCCGACCCGGGCTACTTCACGCATTACAAACTGTGGGACTTTCGCAACGCATCGCAATTCCACCCACCCTCATCCTCATCCACAACCACCCAAAAGACCAACAACACCGACACCCAATACACAACGCACGACCTCCTCACGCAAACCCCCTTCAGCAAAGACTGGCACGTCCAAACCTGGCACCGCGCCGCCGACCCGCTCCTCTCCCCAATCTCCATGACGAACTCCGAATCCAACGTCTTCCTCATGCACCCCCTGCCCTCAGCCAACCCTCATCCTCCTCAAAACCAACCCCCAAGCGCAAGCGCAAGCGCAAGCAAAAGCTTCCTCGTCCTCCGCACGACGCGCTTCACAGACCACGCCTCCACCGCGGAGATCGAATCGCAAATCGGTCTAATCGACCACTGCTCGCTCCGGCTCTACATGCGCCTGATGTCGCGGGACACCGCGCACCACAATCCATTCCACCCCGAACCAAAACACAAACCCAACTTCGCATACCCGCCACCCAGCACCCCGCTCCCCCTCCCCTTACGCCCAGATCAAAGGACCGTTCCCAGCGGCACCTGTGCGGGCATCTTCACGTACCGCTCGGCGATCTGCGAATCGGACATCGAGATCCTGACGGCCGACAGCCCTTACACCATCCACTACGCCAACCAGCCTGACTACGACGCGGAGCACGACCGGATCATCCCGGGGGCGAGCGCGGTGGTGAACCTGACGCGGCCGTGGACGGAGTGGACGACGCATCGGTTGGACTGGTTGCGGACGGAGTCGCGGTGGTATGCGGATGACACCTTGCAGACCGTCAAGCGGTATCGCGTGCCGGACCGGCCTAGCATCATCGTCGTCAACCTGTGGAGTAACGGTGGGGAGTGGACGGGGGACCTGCGCGTCGGCGAGTCGGTCTACCTCGGGATTGAGTGGATGGAGCTGGTCTATAATCTCTCTTCTTCTGCTGCTGCTGCTGCTGCTGTCGACGCCTCTGCCTTTCCTTCCTCGCAGTCGGTGGCGTCATGGTCGTCCTTGGAACAGCAGAAGGAAAGTGACGAGGGTGGCAAGGAGGGGGATGATGTTCCCGGCTGGCGTAGTAGAAAGCAACATCGTCATCATCATCGTTATCGACCAGATCTGAATCTCGCGGCCATGGGCTTTAGTCAGTCGCGGGTGGAGGAACTACGCTATCATCAAGAGGATGGTCGTGAGACGAGAGGACCGTTGTCAGTTGGTCCATCGACCCACTGTCAGAGACCTTGTTGGGTAGATCAATGAAAGCATCCCTGGGCGCTCTTTCATAGCTGTATAGCCTTATTCTTACCGAGACTGAAGAACATGCTTTACTGTGCACCTTGATTTGGAAGAGAAAGTAGACTTGAGATAGTGTCATTGTAGAGGTGGTCGCCCGAGGTAATATGAGCGACACACGGGGAACACAGCCCTGCTATTTACATCAAGCATCCCCATTTCTTTCCATGCTCTCCACACTCAGAAACAAACGCATGTCAGGAGCTCAGGCTTCAACTGACGGGGTATCCGTACAAAACACAAACAGTCAACAGACGCTAACAACTCGCTTCACAAACATGACTCCAACCCAATGCAACCAAGACCTCATAATATGACGAACACTAACCATACATGCTTGCCCATCCCTATTCACACTTTCTTTCTTTTCTTTTTTTTTTGTTTTTTGTTTGTTTGTTTCCCCCCCCTGGTGCCGCCATCCCCGCCCCAAGTGGCCAGTCGAAGTGCTGACCGCGACCACTCACAGCATGACCCCCCGGCCCTGGACGGGATTGAAGTCCCCGTCCAGGCCTCCATTCATCAACTCCCCCACTATTTTCTGTCGCAGTAGTGGGGAGTCCGGAGCCCCATAGGATTGGGGCTCCAGGTTGATGGCGACGGCTTTCGCCGTCGACAGGAGGAAGACACCACAGTCGGACCCGTTGTCTTGCCGGGGAGACAGGGACGGCAGCACCTTCCACTCCGCCTCCACAAATCCCTCCCCCAGTTCCCCCCCCAGCCATGTTTTGATGAGATTTACATGGCGCTTATTGAGCCCCCCCAGGGAATCGAAGTGTTCGATGGTGCGATCGCACGGCTTGACCACGATGAGTGTCCAGTGAGATTTGTCATGGATAGGCACAAACACCGTGTCGACGTTGAGGAGGGTCTTGCCTCCAATCTTGGCCCGTGTCGCCCACCTGCGGACAGACTCGTATCCCTTGTCTCGCAAATTGGAAAAGAAAAAAGAATTGAATGCGTGGTATCGCGGCTTGTCATGCCGCCCAGAGTTGTTGTTGGTTCTTCGCAAGTAGTCGATAATTAATGCCATGTACGCGTTGATCACTTCGTCATTCAGCCACTCCAACGGTGTATAGCAGGTTGCCAGATCTCGTGTCGTCAATGTCTCTCCCGAAAGTGTAGTGGCGACCTTCCTTGATGGTGGCCCAGCCATGGTGTCTTCAAGACGTTTGATCCACTTAGCGCTTAGGGGTCGCACTGCGGGCCGCTCGAGGAGGATTCTTGCGGGTGGGCGTTGCTGGCTGTGCCTTCTTCTTTCCCCCTCTTTTTCCTCGTTTTCCGCCACGGTCGCTCTCCAGCTTTTGGCAAGAAGAGACTCAGTCCTGCCAACCGGGATAGGGGAAGGGGTAGGATAGAACATGCTTACCGCAGAAAGTGCTCGACCCATGGGGTGTTGCTCTGCCTCTTGTGTAGAGGGATCCTGCGAGAGCGTGTTGCTTTCCTGTGCAATAACAGATCTACCTTCATGGCTGACCACTTCATCAGCAGTCGTCTGATTGGTATTCACATGTTCGATATTCGTGTCTTCAATTCTCATGTACTCATTGCTCAACATATCGCGGGACGTAATCTCAGTGCTCAACATATCGTGGGACGTAACTTCAGTACTCATCAAATCGCGGGACGTGGTATCAGGAGCCAGAGGAGCGATGTTCTCCTTTTGCTCTTCATAGGTAATAGCTTTAGCATCGGTGTCTTCTTCGCTGGAAAGGATATTTCTCGCATGCGCATCGAGAAGATGCTGGAGATGTCCAATTCGTGCCCTTGGCGGTGACGGTGACGGTGTCCGTGGGGCAGGAGGCGCATTGCGAGGTGTTATGATACGCTCGCCTGTCACAGGCGAGTTAGGAAAGTGAACTTTGCGGGAGGGCTTAGGCTTTGGCGTATGCTTTTCATGATTGGCATCAGGAAGGCTGACGGTAGTCGCATCGACCACAGAAGACTTCGAAGATGAGGCCACAGCGTTACTGCTGGTCTTCAAAATACTTTTCGTTTTCACTTCTTGAGACTGTGCGATCTTGGGTCTTTGGGTAGCAGTCTCCTTCACCTCGGTGGAAGGAACGCGAATGGGTTGGAGATGATATGCTCCTCTCCTGTAGTTGATGCGCTTGAGTGGCATGGGATTTCCTGCAAAATGGGCTTTCATTGCCTCTGCGACTGCAAGACTCCCCACGAGAGCAGGTGGAAACATTTTTCGCACAAATGAGTCGCGGGTACGAGGGGGAGAGAAGGCCATCGGAGCTCGGTTCTTGGATTTCTTGGGAGGGTGGAAGGCGTCTTCGGATTCGGGTGCGGCACGTTTCAGAGACTTGGGCTTGGTGGCCGAACCAGAGCTGGGTGTATCTGAGGAATTGGAACGGCTAGACCAAAAGTTGAAACCACTAAAGTCAATCTCGACAAGTTCGAAAATACCGTCCGCCGGCGACGGCATTTCAACAGGATGGAGCGGCTCAGGAGTGGCATCCATCACATCAGAACTCAAAGCATCATCAACAACAACAGAAGCCGCGTCAAGCAACGGCATATCGGAATCGGCAGGTGGCCCTCTTCGGTGATCTTCAAGATCATGCTCATTTGTATCTCTGTGAAGTACTTGCTGAATGCGACGTTTGAATGTTCCAACAACATTCACAGCTCGTCGGGCGGTGATGGTAGCACGCTGACCTATATCATGACCAACAACACGCACAACTCTAGCGGTTTTGGTAGCACGCTGGGTGATGTGGTTACCAACACCACGCACAGCTCTAGCGGTGTTGTTAGCACGCGTGGTCATGTTGTTACCAACGACACGCGTCAAGCGCGCTGTCAACCCAGCCCAGCTTGAAGCAGATTCAAGAGCTTGCTCCGGTACATAGTTGTCAGTGAGGTCGGCAAACCGTGTTGCGGCTTGGGTTGTTTCCGGCCAACTGCCGGGTGGATGGACTTGGGGAGTAGCAGGAACATGCAGAGTAAATTCATGCGAGGGATGTTCGATACGTGCCGTATCTGAAACCAAAGTATGCATGTCCGTTGCCTCCTTCTGCTCAGGAGGTGGGCATGACTTGGCAATTGTTAGACCGTACGGAGTATTTTGAGATTGTTGCGGTCTATAAGGACATTCATCATCTTCATCAGATATCTCTAGTGGTCTCTTGCGAGTCGCGGTACTCGAGGAATCCTGCCCTTTGCCGGCCAAAAATGTGGCCTCAAGCTTCTTAAGCTTCTCTTCTTCTGTGCCAGGCATAGGGTGAAGGTGGACTCTTGGCCGACTGTGATAAAAGGTATTGTCCAGAGTGCTAGGTCCACCAGTGAGACCAAAGGGACGTGAAGCGAATCCATTTCGCGAAGTGCTGGGTGCATTGAGACCAAATGGACGTGGAGCGAACGCATTTCGCGAATTTCTGGGTTCATCGAGTGCAAATGGACGTGGAGCAAACAAAGTGCTGGGTTCATTGAGTCCAGATGGACGTGGAGCGAATACAGTTTGCGAAGTGCTAGGCTCAGCGAGTGCAAATGGACGTGGAACAAACGATGTGCTAGGCTCATTGAGACCAAAGCGTCGCGGAGCGAACGCATGTTTCGAAGTGCTAGGTTCATTAAGACCAAAGCTTTGTGGAGCAAACGCATTTTGCGAAGTGCTGGGTTTATTGAGTCCGAATGGACGTGGAGCGAGTATATTTTGCGAAGTGCTGGGTTCATTGAGACCAAAGCGTCGCGGAGCGAGTGCATGTTGTGAAGTGCTGGTTTCATCAACACCGAATGGACGTGGAGCAAATGCATTCCTTGAAGGTCCAGCTGATTCTGGTCCAGTGGGACGAAATAGAGGTGAATCAGGATTGTCGTACCGGCTTGTTGTTGGGAACCAGTCAGGGTCGCTCCGGCTGGGACGATGGATATTGCCCAACTTGGGTCGAGGCCCATTGGCGAGAAGTGAGGTGTTATCACGCATGAAGTTTGACTGAGCGGAGATGTTGATATCGGACAAACTGGGAGGAAGACGCCTAGTGGGAGGGTTCAGCCGAGCCATCTGTTCGCGCTAGGAATCGGTTAGTCCTGAAATTATGATTCTATCCTTGGGGCGGATGAGCTTACCTCGTGCTGCCACAATTCAGCGAATGGATCGAGAGGGCCAGACATTGTAATGTCAGCAGAGTGATATGATTGTGAGTTGTGTGAGTTCGGTGAAGAAAGCAGTGAGATGTGAGTTCAGTGAAGAAAGCCGTGAGATGTAAGTTCGGTGATGAAAGCAGTGATGTGAGTTCGGTGATAGAAGCAGTGACGTGAGTACGATTATGTGAGGTGTTGTGTTGTGTAAAGAGGAAGTGGAGAGAAACGAAGAGAGGTAGAAGGAGAGGTGGGTGGGAGGGAGGAAGGAAGAAGAGAAACAGAAACAAAAAAAAGGGAAGGCGCAATCACAACACGATCATCGCCATGGCAGGAACACTGTTGCCGAAATATTCACTGAGGTCGCGGTGCAAATTGGTGTTACATTGGAAGACGTGGGGTCCAGTGAATGTGGTGGGCGCAACTGGGGCAGGTAGAAAGAGCGAGGAGTGAATGAATCAGTACAGCCGCGATATGAAGTTATTGGGAAGACCGAGCTAGCTAGCTAACTAATAATACGGACGTACCCCGACGACGCCCGCCCGCCCGCCATTTTATGCTCAACCTTAGAGAGGCTTAGCGCCGGAAGCCTGACCCTCCCTCCGGGGAAAGATCACGTGAGGATATACCTCCGTGCCTACTCGACTTTTATACTCGAGTCTTGGTGATCAGAACGGCCACACTTAGCAGCCTCTTAATCAAGTTCTCTCGAAGTTACCAACGAGTACAAAGTAAACTGGCTACTATTGTAAGATCGACAACCTGCCAACGCGATTATGACCCTTTATCTTCAGGATAAGTTAAGGATCGAACCGGAAAAATCAGTGGTCCAAAATCCTCCAGTTTGCGAAGCGCTACCTAGGTACTTCTTAGTAGAGTCAGTCACGTAGAAGCGGTCCGCCACCACGAAGTGGACCAGAAAAGAGGTTGTTTTTGTATGTTAAAAATACTGATGAAAAGGTGACTCAACTTAATTCCAAAGCCTTCTATAATTATAAATAAAACTGAAAAGTCTGTATCTAAATACAGTTCTAATCATGTTAGGTAGTTTGATTTCATATGGGAGTCTGCGGAAAAGCAACAGAAGCTGTTAACACGGCTTTGCTTATTCGGAGAGGTGCTTGGATAGGCCTTGCTTGCTTCGGAAGGTGCTTGGAGATGCCTCAGGTAAAGAAAGAAGAGAGAAAACAAAATCGTATATACAGTAACAGAAATGTCAGCTATGTTACATCGCGGGCGTGTAAAGTCCGACGTGCTGGACTGAACCAGGAGACACAGTCAAACCGGGACTACACCCATGATCATCGTGCTAATAGGCCGCAAGGCCAATTTGCGAGAACAAGAGGGGGGCTCCCTCCATAACTATCCAAGCAATCCCTTTCGATCCAGAAATTGTCAGCACACTTAGCCAAAGCGAAGTCGCGGGTGCGATAATTCAAAGGGATCTTGGCAGGACCTACCAGAATACACCACCAGCTTTGTGACTACCTCTACATCATAGCGTACACGCGGGCGTTTGATCTGCGCGAAGAGTTCCTCTTCATCGGCCTCGAATCCAGCATCGAAATCGGGAAAGGGGACAGTGGATGAGTCCGCTTGGCTAGCATTGTCAGGAGACGTCGCAAGACCTAGAGCTCCCGTGCCCATCATGTGCTCATAGTCATTGAGCTTGGATGGCCGTCTTGACAGCTTCGGTGGCTGAGCCTCTCTGGCGGAGGAACCAGCCTGACCAACCTCGGTGGCAGGGGTAGCCTTATGGCCGTTGGAGAGACTCTCCCGCCTGCGCTTCTCACGATATGCCAATGCTTCATAGGCATCAGCCTCTGATTGAGGACCAACGGATATTGCTCGTCGTCTCGGATGGCGTATTGTGGTGAGGAATGATGGAATCTCGGATAAATTTGGGAGAACTTCATGATCCTTCAGATGCGCTGGAACACGGGAGTATTGCCTATCAAGTCAACCGGTTAGCTGTCTGTTTGAAAAGGTAGTCCGTTTCCTCCTCCTGAGCGAAAAAAAAACAACTTACGAAGCATTGGTGAAGAACCTCCGAGGAAGGATCAGCCCTAGCTTTTCAAGACCCCGGAAAACAGGTGGAAGAATCCGAAGCATGAAGGGTTTTGTCACTGCCCGCCAAACGAAGAGTAATAGGATTCCCAGGACCAGCCGAAGAGCAGTTTTTGTCATCTCCACCAATTCAAACTTGGGCGCAGGACCTGCTGCCGACTCATACCACCCCATCTTCGAGCGTGCCAAGTGCCAATAAGCGATTTGAGCACCGAGTGTCACTCCCGCAAAAGCCACGCTATCATCAAAGCATGGGCAGTCATCCGCAGGCTCTGGGTGCACACGGACCAGGGCCAAGATCAACAGAATAACTAGTGTGACACCTTTCCCTGTAGCAGCAAGGATATAATCGTCGATGGTAGGCCCATATGTGTACTGCAAATAGGCAAGGAAGCCACCTAACAGGCAACCGGTGACCACGTCGCAGAATCCATGCATCCCGCAATACAGGCGGCCCAGAACAATGGAGCTGACATAGACATATGTCAAAGCCTGAAGTGCCAAGTTCATACTAGAGCTAAGAGTACAATCCGGAGAATTGAGGAGGGAGAGAACATAGACTGCGACCGAAACGGCATTCGTAGAGTGAGTGGAAGGAAATCCATACTCCAGAGCCGCAGAGCCGGACATTGTTATGCGCTGGAGGGGTGGAGATAAAGGCCGAGGTAGACACAGGAGGTCCTTGATGAAGCCACTAAAGAATACACCGGAGGCCAATAGATGCACCATCCTAAACGAGAGCCAAGTATGTTAGCGATACGTAGCTATCAGGCGCAGAGTCCCCCGGCGCCGAAATAATCGGTCGTAACATCCAATCGAGAGCACGTACCCACGTCCCAAGCTTGCATAACCGCACCAGAATAGAATTGGGAGGAAAACCATGAAGAAGGTGTGTGTTCCTAGGTTGGCCGTGAACGCAAAGTATGAATCCAGAGTCGGAGTTCGGGTTTTCTCCTGGCACCAGGCGAGATATGGTGTTTCGAATCGAATCAATGGAAGCAATTTTTGTCGTGGCCAGTAACGCCAAAGAGGAAGCTGGTTGCGATCTACTCAAAAGCACAGGTCAAGCCACTGTTAGTGTTGGACAAAGAGACTGACTTTTGATAGGACAAGTACTGCACAAACATACAATGATTGAGACTTCTCAGACCAGCGTCTGGCTGGCCATTTTTGCTGTGAGCCATTTGCGATGGCTGGTGCCCAAGCAGGCAAGCGTGTAAAGCTATCAAAGTGATGAGATGATTGCGATTCCCTCCATGTGGTTTTTTTTCCGTTTCCTGGCGGACAGATTCCCTTAGGTTCTCCGACCGCCTTGGGTGATCATTAAGGCTTCCGAGAGACTCGAATAAGACAAAATATAGAGATAATGCCTTGAGTGGTCGGGGCGAGGAAGGTGGGGAGGGCGGTTAGACACAATTTTAACGTCGATTAAGGAGAGAAATCAGAGCCAGCCTGGAGGTATTATTACGACTAGATTAGACTACTTGTCCCGCGGACGCGAACAGTCACTTATCAGAATCGTGTTGGCGGGATTTGGCGGTCAATGCGCCCGCCGCCAATTCGAATCTCCAGGAAGAGCCCCAAATGGCCAGGGACGTGCTGCAAAGTCACGTGTCAGACCGTTTTACTTGCATAATGGACCTTTGAAGTCTCCATAAATACTTGATGGATAGACAGACATCTACTAATCATGTTTGAACCCCCATATCAAAGTCGGGTCGTGCGAACAGCCCGTGAAGGATCAAGATATCCATGATATATATATCATGTGTGATGAGACTTCTTGGAAACTCCGTCCCCCCTCACACAGAAAGCGTGGCCTACTGAGGAGCACTGGGCAGAATTCAAGGCTCCAAGTATGAGACAGCAGCCGGGACCAAGTTACGTCACAAGTGATTGATTCCAGTCCTACTCTTGGTCGGAAACTGTCACAACGGTTACGGGGTGAGGCAATTACGCAAGGAACCGAGCTGACAGACGCCATCCCATCTAATCAACCAACAGATCGGAGTCAGCCCTGGCACTAGGAACTAAACCCGATCTAAAGATCGGAAGTGATTTGAAGGACAAAGGAGTTGGCAAGAACCAGAGTACCCTAGGTACAGTACTACGTACTGTACGGGACCACATGGGAGAGACACAGCTTGGATGGGATGGAGCCTTGGTTCTAGCCCAGTCAGAGTCCACCAATTCAAGGAACTGGATGAGATGTGACGAATCTGCTAAAAATAAACATTGAAGATGAAGCACCCACCATGTCAAGAAAAAAAAACTCACAGGGGACAAGAGATGAGCTGAAACTGTCCTGGACTTCCTCAGAAGTAGGGAACTACTTGACAGCGGAAACGGTGCGTCATTTGTCCCGCCGCGTTGCCATGGCAGCTCATCGGCCGGTAAACATCGGTCTGGCGGTTTCATGTCAGCCGCAATGGGGCCTCGTAGCAGCACCGGCACTAGCAGCAAAAGCAGCCCGCCCCATCAATGGCTCTTCGACCATCGGTCCCCGTATTAGAGGATTCGATCTCGAAGCCTGACATCCCTTCCTCCCTTTTTGAACTTCTTCGTGCTGGTTTCGCGTATTGTCTTTCACGTTCTCTTTCCCAACCACCCCTCCTCCTCCTCCTCCACCTCCACCTCCGCCTCCACCACTATAATCGATCTCCTCCTTCGTGCAGCAACCTCGCAGCGACGTGTCGACTTTGGAGCCTCATTCTCACAATAAGGGAAATTCCATAACTACCTACCATATTTCAAACCTCTTGGCTTTGCAATCGGGCAACCAGGTGGATCTTTAATAGTGATAATTGCCTGGAAGCATTTCCTGACCGACACTTTGCCCCCCCCCCTCCCTTCCGGAACGACTGGATACCTACATTCCATCAATTTTCCTATTCCGACATCATGTCAGGTACCATGTATGATGACCAAGCTTATGCACCCTCGCGTCGTCATTCACTCGCAACTCCTCCTCAGTCCATGAATCCGCGACAAAGCCGGACGCGCAGCCAGAGCGTCAGAGTCAGCAACGGCACCGTCAGCACAAACACCAGTGTTTCCAGCGGAAGGATGTCAGAAGCCACGAATATTACGCAGCCTCCGGCATATTCCAAAAAGTTTGTGGTGGTGGGCGATGGCGGCTGCGGAAAAACCTGTCTCTTGATAAGTTATTCGCAAGGTTATTTCCCGGAGGTAAGTGCCTGACGGTCTCTGCGGCGGCTCGATTCTTCCGATCCCAACTGACCCCCCCGGCTCAGAAATATGTTCCTACGGTGTTCGAGAACTACATCACGCAAACAACCCATCGGGCTTCCGGAAAGACAGTCGAGCTCGCTCTGTGGGACACTGCTGGCCAGGAAGAATATGATCGTCTACGTCCATTGTCGTATCCAGAGACAGATCTCCTGTTTGTTTGCTTTGCTATCGATTGCCCCGCCTCGCTAGAGAATGTGATGGATAAGGTATGCTTGACTCTGGCCCACCGTCTGCAATTAGTGGAAGCCTCTGACAATATACATAGTGGTATCCTGAAGTCTTGCATTTCTGTCCAACTACCCCGCTCATACTAGTGGGCCTGAAGTCGGATCTGCGCAATAAGAGAACATGCATTGAGCTGCTTAAAACCCAAGGACTGACGCCGGTAACGCCCGAACAAGGCGAAGCAGTGGCGCGTCGTATGAATGCCTCGTACGTGGAATGCAGTAGCAAGGAGATGCGCGGTGTTGACGGTGTATTCGGGCTTGCAGTCGATATTGTGGTCTCCGCCGAAGAACAAGACTGCAATGACCGTCAGACGTCCAGCGCTGGCAGCAAACCCCGAGTCGGGGGCGGCGGCGGCGGCGGCGGAAAGAAGGTCAAGAAGCGGAGCTGCAAAATCTTGTAACTGGTTGGCTCGCTTTATCTCTTTACTGGCTCCTCAACTGGTATATTCCCATACACCCTTACCATCCCAGCATTTCATTTCCCCTTTCACGCTCATGCCACACACAAGCCTGGTTGCTTTGACGGCTTCACCGACTCTTTTCACATGTGATACGAAATAGCAAAGCGAGATGGAGCCCGGCCATGTTTGGCACCCTCCGCTTGACTTTTTGATGTTGGTTCTCAGTCCACTTGGGCTCGTATTTGTTTCTTGAAATTTGCCGGCGGCTTTCTGTTTATCCAATCGCCTCTTACGTTGTTATACCTGCTTGGCCTTTATGACCTTTCCCATAAACTACGGCTGTCTCAATCATCTCACGCTCCTGTTCCCTTCTTTCTATTCCTTGAATGCTTTATGTCTGTTATGAGCACGGCCATATGGCCTCTATTCGTTATGCATGGGACGGGTGTTTTCTTTTTGGCGCAAGCGACATCCCATGTAACTGAATCCGAACACCATCCCCAAAAAATTGCTGGGAAATCATCCAGTAACTCATTCAGCTCTTTGGAAAAGAACAGGATAACCTGTGACCAAAAAAATAAGTAGACAAGCTCCCTCGACCAAGCCAAAACAGATTCACGCCATACTCAAAACGCCGGATTTTTAGCCAGATATCGTAGGCAACAAACCTTATACCTCCACCTCCCAAAACAGCAATCAAGCCTCAGCATCCTTCATCTCCTCATCGCGAAGCTCACTCTGCGCCTCCTTCTCCTCCTGCTGCTGCCCCCCCTCGTTCCGCCGATCCGGAGCCTCCGTCCCCTCAGCCGGCTGGCCCATGAAATTCTCAAACCGCGACCACAGGGCCTCGACGGAGCCAAACTCATTCCCCACCTACGCAAGGATAGATTAGCGATCCGTCTTTGATCCTTGCATGGAAGCCAATAGAACCACATCCTCCATGAAGTGAAGAAAGGGTGGGGTTGGGGGAGCGGTGAGACCTACAGAGATGATGCTCTCCAAGTTCCGATTGAGCCGATTCATATTCTGGAGAACTTGCTCCATGCCCTAGCCACCATCCCCATGTGAGTTTAGTTTCAGTGAGGTATTTTTTGGGGGGAGGGGTTTTCGCTTCGGCGAATGAGAAAGGGCCGACCAACGACGCAATGAGACGCTCATCGTACCGAGAAATTTTGGGATGAGAGGAGGAGGGCTTACCACGGCGATTTCTCTTACGAGTTCTGCCCGTTGCTGCTCGAAGACTGTCGGGGTTATGGAGCGGGACTTTGCGCCGGGCGTCGTTGACATCTTGTTGGTTGGAAGCAGTGCTCGGAGGATGAGATGGTCTCTTGCAAAGGGAAGGCTGTTCAATGGAGGACTTTGATCTCAAGTCTGTCGCTCAATGCCGAGTTACTCGGGGTGTACTGTACTTAAATAGTTGATCGTATCCCTGCCCTTATACTGAGGTCTGCTTGCGCGTTGATTGTTTTTGGATGCTTGTCTTGTGGCGGGGCGATCGGTACCTGGCTGTCCCGATTGGGAGTGGGTTTTGTTTATCATGCCGGGCAAAACTGTTCACCGCTTAGCTGTCCGCCTTGTCTTATCGATAAGGCTGCTGCAGGGATGCATTAGTTCTCGCGATAAGGAATCATGCTGATCTTGTTTGTGTATGCAGAGAACGGGAAGAGGGCGATCCTCAAGCATGCGAACGCTTATTTCTTCGACAGACGCTGACTGTTCGGAACTAAGCTTCTGTTTGATGTCTTGGGGATGTGAGATGACAGCTATCATTAAACTCCGCGATGTCTCTCTAGGGATATGACTGTAACTTCGAGAATTGGCTTCTTTTCGCACCAATGCATGACTCCAGGTCGTGTTATTACCGGATCGCTCAACGAGAGCTAATGGTACTTGTACAGGCTAGCATCAACATGTCTGAAGCACAAAGTCACTGATTATTTTGACGGCGCATATAGTCTTTTGACGTGCCGGTGACGTAACCTCACCAAAGAGGTTATAAATTCAATCCGCGATGACTGCTATGTCTTTTGGCAACAAACTCCTCGGACCAAGAAGGCTTGACAACTTCAGTCATAATGAAAGCGATCGGCATTGAAGATTATGGTCCTATCGATCATCTCCAGGCAAGGGAAATCCCGAAGCCTTCCGAGCTATGGCCTCGGGATTTGTTGGTTCGGTACGAGCAATTTGTCTGTTGATGCACACAAGGACTAAGAGCAATCGATCAGGGTCAAAGGAGTATCCGTAAATCCAGTGGATACGAAAGTGAGAAACGGAACTTACGATGATTACCCAGGCAAGCCCATACCCGTTTTGTGACCCAGGGTAGGTTTATTTCACTGACGAACCGCCAGACTACTATGATAATGTTCCCCGACCGTTTCAAATCACCGGATATGACGCTGCAGGTGTTGTGGAAGCAGTCGGCTCTGAGTGCTCCTACTTCAAGGTCGGAGATGAGGTCTTCTATTCTGGAAGTCCTATCAGGCAGGGTTCCAACGCAGAATATCAATTGGTGGATGAAAGGAGTGTGGGACACAAGCCGAAGCGTCTGGACTTCATCGAAGCCGCTGTCATGCCTCTGACATATATCACGGCTTATGAAGCGCTGGTGGAGAGGCTGGGAATCAAGAAAGGCGAGCGAACAGCAATCTTGATCATTAACGGCGCTGGTGGAGTCGGTGCTGTGGCAATTCAAATTGCACGCGTGCTGCTTGAAGTACCGGTGGTCATCACGACAGCCTCGCGACCGGAGACGATCAGTTTCGCCAAAGAGATAGGTGCTACGCACGTTGTCAACCACCGGGAGGACGTTTCAAAACAGGTAGCAGATCTGAACCTTGACCTCCCTCTGAAGTATGGCATGCCTCAACTTGAATGCGACATAAGCTGACCATTCATCCAGGTACATTTTCATCACACATTCCACCGACCAGTACATGGATACATGTGCCAAGGTTTGTGCTCCATTCGGTAAGGTTTGTTCGATTGTGCAAGGTCAAGCGAAGATGTATGGAACCGAGTTCATGTCCAAATCTCTCACATTCGTCTGGTGTCTCCTTGGCACGAAGCCGTATCACAAGGTGGATGTTGATTCGCATCATCGCATCTTGGAGGAACTCTCCGAGTTGATAGATTCTGGCAAGATCAAATGTCATTTGACCAAGCGACTAAAGCTCAATCTCGAAGGTGTTAGGAAAGGGCATGAGCTTCTTGAATCCGGTGGAAGCATAGGGAAAGTGGGCTTGGGGCCGGACGAAGCAGGGTCCGGAGAGCCATTCGCTTAGTATTGATTGTCATAGAGACATTGCCACCGCATGTTGCAGCAGCATTTTGGTAGGATAATAATCACACACTGGTATAATATAGACAGGGTCCTGAGAATAGATTACTCCCCGCAAGTTCCCCGCCCCAGGCAGGGTCTTTAGCTGGGCGGCAATGCAGAGAAATCCAACACTAGTCCTATAACGAACTATTCAACATCGATGCTTGCCGTATTAGGCTCGACTCACCGGTTTAGTTGGGCCCGAATACGACTACTCTCGTATTTCTTTCCCAAAATGTAATCGCGTCAGCACTATCGTTCATGCAGACTTCCTACAGCGCCAATGGTTTCTTGCCTTTCTGACTTGATGCTTTGCTGAGCCTGCGTTCACTAATCCTGAGCCTGTCTATCTCTTTCCTTTCCAAGTATTCGTCCATGACATGGGCCTGTCCGAATATACAGGGTCACAACGAGCATCTCGGGGTAGGGCCAACCGAGCCTCGAACCTGTGTGAGAGCTGTGATGGAACTGAGGTATAAAGCAGAGAAACATTCATCATGAGAACCCATAAGCACCAGCACAGTGTGCAATCGCAGCTTTCCATTGATAAAAATGCGCTTGGCCTCGCTTCTGATTACCGCGTTGCTCTCACGACCGAGCATTGCACTCGCTCACAAGACGACTGGACCTTATGACGACCTCGGTTCGTTTCAGAATCCAGCGCCTCGCGCACGTCCTCGTTTCCGCTACTGGCTGCCGGATGCCAGTGTGGACCCCGGACTCGTCCAACAGAATATCAAAGATGCCGGGGCTCTGGGTGCTGGTGGTGTTGAGTTCCTCCCATTCTACGCTTATGGCTCCGAGGTACCAGGGGCGGACTGGGTGACCTACGGCTTCGGCACGCCGGCGTACCTCGAGATGTTCAAAGCTGCTCTCCAGGCTCACAAAGAGGCCGGCCTTGCCATGGACTTTCCCCTCGGCCCTAACCAGGGTCAGGGAGTGCCTGCACGGTATGATGATGAGGGGCTTCAGTGGGATTTGGTAAGTAAGAGAAAGGGCATTATGCGCTTTTGTGCATACTAACATGTTGAACTTGAATCATAAGGCTCCATACACAGTTGCTATACCTTCGAACGGAACCTATGACGGCAGGCTTCCAGGCTGGGATACAGGCGATTTGGTGGCACTTGTTTGCTCAAGCCCTTTCGGCTTGGAACATCACAGGCCAGACCGTTACGGCTTTATACACCGTGGCAGTAGAGGACCATATGCAATACGTGCTCAAGAATGCAACACTACAGGACTGGACAGACAATGTATCATCAGAAGGCACCGTTCATCTGGAGCTTCCTTCGTCTCACGGCGAAACCTATCTGCTTTTTGCATTTTACCAGTACCTGTCACACACGCAAAATCTCCCAGTCAACTCAAACATGACCGGGACAATCTTTGACAATGGTTCCTACATTGTCGATCACTTCAGCGCGCAGGGAGCACAGGTGGTTACCAGGTTCTGCGATGACTACTTGCTCGAGGACGCTGAGATCAAGAAGCTTCTGTCCGAGGTCGGTAACTATGGTAAGCATTCCTGCCACACCAAGGGACGAACATAGCTGATAGTCGACAGGCTGGGAGGACAGTATCGAGGCGATTTCGAACATGTCGTGGACGCCGTCGCTGCCGAAAGTCTTTTATGACAAATATGGCTATGACCTGAAGCGTTATCTACCACTCTTCATTTTCGGCAATAACAACATTGGCATTCAAAACGCTGCACCGGGTTCGATACAGTGCCTACTAGATACTCCAGACCAAGGAAAGGGATATGTGAATGATTTCCGTGGTGCTCTAATGGAGGGATACCGGGCCTACGTGGAGCACTACACGAACTGGACCAACGCGATGAACCTACAATACTCGTCTCAGGTTGGCTACAATCTACCTGTTGATGTCTTGGCTAATGTCCCGTATGTAAATGCACCGGAGTGCGAGAGCTTGCAGCACCAGAACAATGTTGACAGTTATCGGCAATTCTCTGGTCCTGCAATCTTAGCAGGAAAGAAAGTCATCTCGAACGAGCTTGGCGCTGTCATAACCGAAGCATATAGCCATACGATCACAGAGCTTCTGTGGCAGGTCAATCGAGCGGCTGCAGGGGGCGTTAATCAGGTCGTGTTGCATGGACAATCTTACTCTGGAGACTACTACAATACGACGTGGCCAGGCTATACAGCGTTCTACTATCTGTTTTCAGACTCATACTCTGAGAAGCAGCCATACTGGAACCACGGATTCTCAGAAGCCTTGAATCACATTGCGAGGTTACAATACTCACAGCGAAAGGGTATCCCGAAAGTTGACTTGGTCGTCTACAGCAAGGACTCCGCATCTGATCCGTATTTGGGCACACTCTATAACCAGAGTGACCTGATCGAGCATGGTATGTGTTTTCTCTTTCAAATTCGCGGACTTTGCGTTCTAACAGGAAAAGGTTACACCTATGTCTACTTGTCACCCGAGAACTTCGCCTTGCCTCAAGCTTATGTGAAGAATGGGTCATTGGCACCGGATGGCCCCGAGTTTCGCGCAATGATTATCCCTAGGTCGAGCAACCTCACTCTTGATGCCATCAGCCATATCAAAGATTATGCCCGTGCAGGTCTTCCTGTAATCTTATCAGATGGGCTGCCCAACATCTACTTCACAGAAGATGGGACTAAGACTGCCACTCGGGCAAAGCTGGCCTCTCTGCAGGCTACCCAGAATGTCTATACGGTCGCTGCTGGTCAAGCAGCTAGCAAGATTTCAGCTTTAGGCATCTCGCCCAGGGTCAAAGTGCAGGCCGATGGGACCTGGTATTCTACCTGGAGAACTGACAGCGACGGCACAGAGTATCTTTTCATCCTGTCGGACCTGGTCAAGTCTGCTGGCAGAATAAGTGTCGCAACCACCAAACAGCCTTACTCACTAGATCCGTGGACTGGCAAAGAGAGCCCACTTTTGGCATATCAACAAGAATTCGGACGCACGATAGTTTCCTTCTCCTTTGCTGCAAACCAGACCGCCATACTGGTCTTCAGGGATACCACGACGTCTGCGACATCACTCTGTACCACCGACATTCCCCCTTCAATCATTGGGCATGAGTATATTCAAGCAGGGAGCCTTCATCTGCACGTTTCGTCCAGTAGCCTTGCAAAGATATCACTGCCACTCTCCAACGGTAAAACCATCACTCAACTCACTAACCGCACCGTCGCCCCAAGGATCGCTCTTTCTAACTGGACTCTCACCGTCGAGCATTGGAACCACCCTCTTAATATCAGCGATGCCTCCACGATCGCGCTCAAACACAACACCACTCACAGGCTCACTTCCCTCGTCTCCTGGCGCGACATTCCCGCCATCGCCAACGCCTCCGGAATAGGCTACTACACCCACAGCCTGGCATGGTCGCCTTCAGCATCCGCCTCAGGCGCATACCTCCTTCTACCCAAAGCCACCAACGGGGCGCGAGTCTACGTGAACGGTCACCGCGTCCCGCCCTTCGACTACCAGGCCCCGAAGATCAACATCAGTCCGTACCTTCACGCCGGCGCCAACGAGATTACTGTAGAGGTTCCGTCCGTGATGTGGAACTACCTCCGCTCGATCTTCGATGAGCTCTGGACAGGCGGCATGTACCCGGCAAATGTCTTCAGAGCCTACGGTGGCTTGCCCGGAACAGTGGATAATGGGCTTATCGGAGAGGCAACGGTTGTGCCATATGTAGATGTGCATGTAGGATGAAGATCATCCAACTAAACTTGAGAATCCCCAGGCAGAACATAGCAGACCAATCCAAGCAGTCCTAAAACCGATGAGATCGCCGGTCGGGAATCGGAGAAGATACAGCCGAAGACAACAATTCTCCACGTGTTGTCAACCTAAACTCTCACCCTGGCTACCTTCTAAGGAGAGCAACCAATACAGACGAAAGCAAACCAACCCTCCTTCTATTTTTCTTCCATCCTCCCGACCATCCGATCCTCCGATCGCCAGATTTTCTTCCCCGAACAAGCAAAACCACGAACCACTGTGAGGTGAGGACTGAGGATAAGCGACGTTCCAAAAAAGCAGGCGCCGATCCGCGACCCGTAGCGAGTGTGCAAATCCACGGTAGTGTTAGCTTAGCGCCCTCGGGCCCCGGGCCTTCCAGACACCCAAGCAATTGAGTTCAACGCCCTTGTTCAGCCTTTGAACTAACTACCGTACTCCCGCTGGCTTACTATTGACTTCTACTGAGTAGCTGGCTAGTGGTAGGTCTAGAACCCAACCCCCTCCCCCCCGCCCCCGAAACCCCCGAAAACAAAGCCATTGTTCCGACCTGCCTAGCATAGATCTGCAACCACATCAATTCAGATTGACTCTAGAATCGAAAGGCTCCGCGACGCGGTTAAAAAATTAGTCACACCTGCATAGTAGTAACTTCAACAGTATGTACTCTGCTGCCGTGCAACAACAACAACAACAACAACAATGCATTCCCAACCGACCACCTCACCAACCAACTAAACCCCATGAGCCATTACATATTACATACTATGTAGTCCGGCCCCAGCATTGCCCGAACCACATTTCGGTAGCGAGCGAAGCTCAGCCCAGCCTAACTATGAGTAGCCGCCACTAACGAGCCCGGGGCAACACAACTCGGCAAAAGATGATGTCAATGTATCCACTTGCCGGGGGGTTCGCACACCCAGTAAGGCGGAGGTGGTACGGAGTCTACGTAGTTCTACGTAGTCTAGACTGTGACCACTGAATTCCATTGAACCCATAACTTCAACTATTCTGGATGTGGAATACGTAGTAACTTGGATCTGGTTCGGGGCATGTTGTTCACTCACTCACTCACTCACTCACTCACTCACTCACTCACTCACTAGTCTATGGACTTACTCAATACTTAACTCACCGCATGGGGGGGCTGGGTGGGGGCAAAGGATGGGTGGGCGGTGGGGGGAATTGGATTTTCGGGGTTGGGGTTGGGGCGAAGGAAGGGTTTCGGGCATCAGTCAATTCTTGCTGATGGGTATAATGATGAGTCGGGTCTTATAGATGAAGGCAAATGAAAAGGAGCCGAACCTAGTGGGGGTTGTCAGTCACATGGACAATCCAAACCACCGAACCAAGGAACCCAGAGGCAAGGAACAGGTCATGATTGTTCATGATCCGGGAGCTTCGCAAAAATAAATCCAAGTTTTGTAGATTGTTTGAAACCATGCTTCGATCCATCGTCTTGTAAGAATAGAAGATTTCACCCTAAAAAGAAACACCCTAATTGTGTTTGCCTGTGCCTACTCCTGCGCTAAAGTGAAACCCAAAACCAGAGTCCCATCCCGGAAATAAAGTAAATTGTAGTGACATCTACTCCATGTCTAGATTCCAAACTCCGAAACATGAATTCGAGAAAGTAGAATAAAAAAAAGGAGTTCGTTTCGTCTTGTCTCGTTTAGTGATTCGTCGCGTGGTTGTTTGTGTTGCCATGTACACCAGCATGTTGTTGTGTTGTAGCATAGTGGAGATCGTAAGGAGGGTAAAGTGGTAATGTTATGCGTGAGAGGGTCTCCGGGACCGCTCCTCGCGGACGTCATTGTCGCTAATGATTGAACGCCTGTAGCCGGAATTGTGGTGTGGATAGTGCATCCTTTCAAGTCGAGGCGCGTCGATTAGGGACAAGGATGTTGCTGAGGCGTTTCCACCGCTGTCCCGGCGAGGACAGATTGTCCCGCTCTATGCGATCCTTGTCTATGCTGGCTTTTGAGGAAGACTGTGTAGATGATCGCGGTCGGGTGACGAAGGCTTCGTGGTCGGCGAGAACATCTTCAAGTCGCACGTCGGAGTCGGAAATGCGAGGATGGCCATCGCTGGGGTCAAGGATCTCGATGAATCGGGACGGCATGTCGCGCATATTGTGTATGTGTTTAAATGTAGTGAATATGTGTAGAGAAGTGTGTTTGGGAGTTTTGTCCTTGAAGGATGATCCAAAGAAAAAAAAATTTGCCTCGGTCGTGTTTCGAGAACTGGGGAAGCTCGCTTTTTGACCTCTTTTACTTCGCTCTTAGTCGGCTGGGGGCGGAGGTCGTGTGCGTGGTCACGAGGGACGCGGAGAGAACTTTATTCAAATATGGGGAAAGCGGTCGATCATAGAGGTACGTGCATGCAGATATTGACCGAAAATCCAGATTCTCACGGTCGAGTAAGAAAATGAGTGTGAGAAGAAAAAATAGGAGGGCTGGAAAGAAGGTCTGAACGGATATGGTTTCCGTGTAGCCTCTCCAGGTGGAGAGGAGGGAGGACCCTTAAAAGGAATCGAGGGGCAAAGGATGTCTGAGGATAAAGAGAAACCCCTAAAGAAAAAGCAACGAGACGGGAGATGAGAAAGGCACGGATGTTGCAGTAGTCGAGAATGCGGATTCGTTGATTACAGTTTCAGTTATGCGCCAGACAGGGATGTCGAAGCAGTATGGTTTTTGCAACGGAGGGGGAAGGGGTTCGGTCAGAAAGATATCTATGTCCAGCGGATAAAGGGCGCGAGGCGCCGCTGACGTCCGGGGAAAAGAAAGAGCATATTTATGAGTATGAGTCCTCTACGGTAGGACCCATCAGCCCTTGAAATGGTATGTCGACTATTCCGCGCTTTTCCCGCCTCCTCAATAGGTCATTGTACCGGGACAAGCGGGGGTTGGTGATCATGGATGGGGATCAACTGTCGGGACTGGTATGGTGGCGCATCAGCCAGAGCAAGGGCAGCGACATCGACTTCCGCCGCGCAAGCAATATTCTGATGGATTGGCGGACCCTGTGATTGATGAGAATACATGAGGATAAGCGGGGAACGTTCTGTGAGAGGAAAAGCGGTTCGTCCGTCATCCTGAAAGGGAGGTGTGTAAGAGGGAGACATTGGTGCTGATTGAAGCCGATGATGCTGATGGATGCGTGGGATGGAAGGGGGTTGGTCCGTTGCCTTGGGCCACAGTGAGTGCCCCTCTTTCGGGATGTGCAAAAGGTTCAAGCACGGCGAAAAAAGAAGAAAGAGAGAAGGAAAAGAAGAAGAAAAATGATCGTCATCGGGTGACCGACTGTCAGGTGTAGAGAAAGAAGAGTGCAGGCAGGTTAATCATGGGATTGTGAGGACGACTCCACCCACCGGTTCTTCCCGCCCGTCCCGAATGGCCATCATCGCTACCTACAGTTCTCGAGGCAACAACTTATCCTCCTCCAGTCACTGACTCACTCGCATCAGAACAGGAGATGACGTTTGTCCATCCGTGGCTGCAACTTTCATTGATGAACTGTGGCTTGACTGGGGCTGGCGATCATAGATAATCCACGCACACCGCAGAGTGGTAGACGTGTCCCAACTCCATTATTCCCTTCACATTCAACCAATGTCCAACCAATGTCCAGCGCGGGGACGATTTTCAGATCAGCAGATTGCAGGTGTACTGCCTCGAAACGACTCATCGCGCAACGTAAGAGCTTAGCAAGCTCTTGGACAGATCACGGAGGCTATTCTTAGCAACGGATTGACGTCGAGTCATGAGTAGGTAGGTGGAATGTTTGTAAAAAGGAAGCTTGTTGCCATCGTGGGGGGAAAAAAGGTTAGTGGTACAAGAGGTAGATTGGGTTGAGGTCAACACAACCACCATTCAACCTGTGGAAGTTCTCCTCTCGCGGCATGTGCTACCTGTGACGTCATGGCTCCTACTTTCGCTCTTCGCCATTTCCTCCTTCACGACCACTTCGACTTCGAACTAGCCACTATTAGGTATCCAGCCTAGCTATCGAATATCCGTCCTTCTTTTATGATATTCCACCAGTAAGCGACATGCCGAATAAGCGCGTCAAAAGAAATACCCGGTCATCACAGAAGCTACCTTCTCCGCCTCGATCCGAGCAGGATGCTGCAGTCGCAGATGACGCTCATTGCGTGGAAGACCCTGCGTCAGGCGGCGGGGGAGTCACAGAACGTCAGCCTGAAGACCATGACTCAGTGGCGCCGGACCTTGCGGACGAAGACGAGATGCCCGAGGAGACAGGGAGCACTGGCGAACAGCTGGCTATGCATGCGGCGGGATACGCAGGCGGAAGCGGAACAGCCTACAACGCGCTCAAGTCGTTCAACGGTCAAGTGTATTCCGGGATGGCCGTCGGGGGCTCGCATACCTGGAAGTATGATGAGGGAACGTGGAAGGAGACGAAGGAGGAGCCGGACCTCTGGCGTATCGATTACCAGACGAACAAGCGACGGGCAAAAAGAGCGCCGGAGGGAAGCGGTGCACCGGTGGGAACGGAGTATCACTGGCTAATTGTGGGACATCAGGTATGTGCGTGTTTCTTTTTCTTCCAGGTGTGTAGAGATCAGCATTGGCATTGCTTACCCTGGGCAGCACGTCAAGAAAGTCGATGCGAATACCTACGAGACCCATCTGACCGGCTCGAAGTATAAGCTCGCGTATAAGTCGGCCTCATCGAACTCGTGGTCGGTTCCGACCGTCAAGAAACAGCGGGAGAGAGAGATCGAGCTGCTGGAGGATGCAAAGCATCGCGTCCAGGGACTGCCTCCGGTGCTGGCATTGGAGAAAGTCAAGGTTGAGAAGCACGAAAAGGGGCAAACGAAGCTTGACGCTATGTTCGGCAAAGCGGGGACCAAGCGGAAGGCATCCCAGGATGCTCACAACAGAGATGAATAGGGAAATATGTGATTTGTTGACTGTGGTTGGCCATAATAGAGGAAATGCGCATGGACTGAAAATCACTTCTTACGCCCCGTGCATGATGAATGGGGGCAATAAAACTGCTCCCTACATGTAGGCTGGTGGAGTAACCAGCTCAGAAATCACTCGAGTTTCAATGTTTGAGCTCATACATGATATATAATATTGTACCACGGTGCCGGGTATGATATCCAGCAATCTTAGTGCTATCTCAGGCGCAATCCTGCGCATACACCTCTAGCGGGCAACTGTCTCCACGAGTATAAATCAAGAGAAACTACGGTCTTACTACAAAGTAGTATCATTATAGACGAAATGCGATCTCCCTGCCACTTGACCACCTCAAGCTGCAAGGGTGAACTGTTCGCAGATCCTCCCCGGCATCACGCAGGATCGTCAAATCAATTTGCGACGTAGTACTCCGTAGTATCAACAGCTTGAACATGCAATGAAAATGAAACGTGATGTTGAGGGAGAACGAGACATAGGAGAACACAGCCAGAAAAGAAAGTTACGCCATAACTTCACGCCAGAAAAAAGTGTAGAGTCTAGACCCGCGCAGTTCCTTACTAGAGACGATTCGGATCGATCCGATCCACAATAGCTGGGAACTATGACATCACCCACTGACGCGATCTTACCTTCGCGCGTTCACGCCTCGAGCTTAATTTTCTAGGTCTTCACCTGACTGCGAAAGCTCAGCTATAGCCCAAAGCGACTCAATTGACGAGACTAAGCTTCAACTCCGAGTTATATCATGTCCAAAAGAATCAATTCCTTCTTCCAACCCATCCCGGTGAAGAAGCCCAAGCCCGATCCGGAAGCTACACCACCATCCGACTCGCCATCTCCCACCCCCGTCTCGAGCACGCACCACCCCAACTACCCCATGCCTATTCGTGACCTCCCCTCGCATATCTTCAAGCCGATCGCAAATCTCGAGCGTGTTCGGCCCCCGCAAGTCATCAACAACCAGCCACACCTCGACCTGCTGTATTTCCAGCCGTTCATCCCGTCGCCGATCGCCCGCAATTTGTTCAACTTCCTCCGGAATGAGCTCCCCTTCTATCGCGTGCAGTACACCATCCGCCGCGGCCCAACGGAGACACTGATCAACACGCCACGTTACACGACCGTCTTCGGCGTGGACGAGACAAGCATTTTCATACCGGGTTCACAGGATACGAAACCTATCGGCAACGACAACTCCTGGTCCGAGTTGACTCAAACCCAGAATCCCACACTCTCTCTCGTAGAAGCCCGCACCTGCGCCCCACCAACCACGCTTAAAGACAAGACCAAGTACAACCATCCCCCGCGCCCCATCCCGCCGTGTCTCGATGTCCTCCGCCAGGCTGTCGAGGCCGCCACCGCCGACGGAACCCACTACAACTTCTGCCTGGTGAATTACTACGCCACGGGCGATGACAGCATCTCATATCACTCGGACGATGAGCGGTTCTTGGGGCCGAACCCCACGATCGCGTCCATCTCGCTTGGCGGGCAGCGGGACTTCATGCTCAAGCATAAACCTGTGGCCGGGAGTGATGTCGACGCAGGGAAGCCGCTCAAGTTCCCGCTCAACTCCGGGGATATGATCGTCATGAGGGGCGAGACACAGGCTAATTGGTTGCATAGTATTCCAAAGCGAAAGGGGGCGCAGGGGAGCCAGGGGAGAATTAATATCACATTCCGGAAGGCGGTAGTACCGGGTGGGACAAATAATTATTATAGGTATAATGTGGGCGACGGCGCGGTTTATCGATGGGATGAGTTGGCAAAACAGATGGTTGCTGTCAAGAAAGAGAAAGAAACCGAAGGAGAGAAAGAGTCCCAAAAGGTAGACGAAGCGAAGGTAGAAGAATAAGGCGAGGCGAAGGAGGCTTCGTGCCTGGCTGGCAACAATTGCATGATATTAAGACCGCGAGAATGGGTTCTTGTAGTTCCGAAACTGGTCCAGTGATACTGCGCCTTCGAGAATATGCTGCAGGAGGGTTCCGTAATCCCATCCGATAGCAGCGGCAGCGAGGGCACAGAGACTGGCCTGATCCTCACGGCCAGGACGGCCAGGGCCAGTCATGTTCTAGACCACATAGATTAGCCTTTCAATTGTTGGAAAGTAGACAAGAGAGACATACAGGCTTCATGTTAATGTCGAAAATCGCGAATTCAGATCCCTCGCGGAACCTTCTGATATCGATACGTAGGGGTGCGGTAGCCCCGATTAACTTCCCAATCTGCTCGCATTGCCGCATCACGGAACCATACGATGCGTCCTTCATCTCGTCCGCAGTCACCGTGCGCGAATTGACAGTAATAGCCACCGCGCCACTGTAAGGCGCCACTCCGTCGACATGATTGAATCGCGTGACCGGGGGGAGACTCCAGTGCGAATCATGATCCGCGGACGGCGGCATGACCGTAATAGTCGCCTCCTCGCCGGTGAGAAATTCCTCGATCAGAACCACAGGGGATTCCTGCACCAATGTGTTGACATGCGCCTCAAGCTCTGCACGATCGCGACAAAGCTTCACGCCGTGGCTACCACGGCCACGAACGGGTTTGCCAATGAGGGGATAATGGGGGATAGAGTCCAGAATGGTGGCAATGTTGTCCGTGGCGCGGAGAAGCCAGGACTGCGGGAGAGTGAAGGAGCCGTGTTTGCGGAGCTGCTCGTTCAGATAGGCTTTGTCGTCAAAGTCCTCCACCAGCGTTGGGGGTTGTCCGACGACATAAAGAGGGTCGTTGGAAACCAGTGATTTCGACACCTGCAGTGGATGCGAGGAGAACAAGACCGTATTGGCCCAGAGGTGTGTAGCACCTTGCTGTACGGCGGAGAGAATACCTTCTTCGGTGTCGGGGAAGCACCAGCCTTCCTGTATTGAAGGATTTGGAGATGCTGTGGGAGTGAGGACGCAGACTCCATGCTTACGAAGCGTGTAAGCAATGTCTGCGCCTGAGTCTTGGTAGCCTGCAACAAGGTGTCAGTTTCAGTTTCACAATGGAAGTGAACAGTGAGTGGAAAGGTTACTCTACCACCAGGCTTGCGAGGCTTGCGGGCACCGTTAATAACAGGTGGCTCGAGGGCTTGATAAAGTACTGCGACCGTGGGATGACCACGAGCTAGACTGTGACTCAGTCGCGCGGACTGCTGTTTGTATATATTCATCATAGCGACGGTGTATAGTTTTTGTTGATCAGTGCTGAGGCAGATGAGGTTATGATATAGCATCTGGAACTATCCGAAAGTGCCGATTTCGGCACTTTCGGACTGACCCGATATAGATTGATGATATCATTTGGTGAGATTTGCAACCATGTCGTGCTGACAATGATTGCGCCTTAAGAGTATCATCTGAAAGGGGTTATACGAGAAGCGTGAAGAAGACATTGAAGAGGTATATTCGAGTTCCACAGTCGAGGTGACTGCAAAGACTGGCACATAACAGCGGAGAACACGGCAGAAAGTGCGGGTTGCTCCGGGATGCTATGGGCATTGGGCGGCAAGTAAAATGGTGGCAGAAAACCACACCGCCTGGTGCTGTACTTGTTCCACTTGCGAGTTTCGGAGTGAACGCCTGGAATGCGAATTGTACAAGACCGGACAGAGATTACAGGGTGGTCTGGTTATTCCTTTGACCTTTATGATTAAAATGAGCTCTAAATGAGCTTCGTGACTGAAGTGCTTCCTGCGACACAAGTACCAGTAGCACACACCCTCACAACCTCGGTCTCCAGCCGGCCTCGACCTCCTTTTGGCTCTGTTCCCTCAACAGCCTCTTTAGAATCTTTCCACTCGCATTCTTGGGTATTGCATCCACGAATCTGACTCCTCCGGTCAAAGCCTTGTAGCTCGCTAGTCTCTGCAAGAGATAGCTCTTCACATTCTCTTCTGTGAGCCGATCTCCATCTCTTGGTCGTCGCACCACATACGCCTGGGGCAACTCCGTCCCTGGGACCAGATGCTTGATACCAATGACAGCCGCATCAACAATGAGCGGATGTGATATCAGCACAGCTTCTAGCTCCAGTGGAGCGACCTGGAACCCACGGACCTTGATCAAATCTTTCTCTCGATCCACGATGTACCATTTCTCTGTTTCCGCTTCACAGTATCCGATGTCACCAGTGTGAAACCATCCGTCTTCATCGAACGATTCTTTGTTCGCGGCGGAGTTGTTGAAGTATCCCGGTGTTACAGTTGGACCTCGGACACATATCTCGCCGCGAACGTTGTATGCGGAGATGTTGTTTCCCGCGTGGTCTATCAACCTGTTTAACGCACGAGTGAGCCATGGCGTTTCATAGACGAAGGAGAGAAGGTTAGAAATGCCTACTTAGCTTCCAGGTTCGGAATCAGGCGACCCACAGATCCCGTGTAATCCTGCTCTGGATACGGAAGCGTAGTTGCGATGCAACTTGTCTCCGTCATTCCCCAGACTTGCGTGCAAGGTGCCCCGTCACCTAGCAACGGTTGGAGCCGCCTCTGTGTTCCTTGGTCAATGGGCGCAGCGCCGATCGAGCTTGTTCGGATAGACCTCAAGTACCTCCGCTTGTAGGACAGAGGGCTCATGATGATGGCGATGACAACGGGCGGAACAACCGCCAAGTCGGTCACATGGTACTTCTCCACAGTTTCCAGGAAGAGTAAGAGATCGAAACGCCTCATGATGTAGTTGGTGTGGCCGGCTTTGAGGCTGCCAAAATGGGTGGAAGGCACGGCGGCAGCGTGGAAGAGAGGGGTAGGCACAACGCGGGAAACCTATTTCAAATATGCTTATGTTACTTTGGAATCGAGTTTGGTGTAGTACAATACAAGGCCAATTACCCAATATGGTCGATGATGCAACTCGAACACGAGCTCATGTTGCGCAATCAGATTTGTGTGAGTGATTTCAGTGGCTTTGGGCAGGCCTGTTGTTCCGCTGCTAAATAGCCGAACAGCTGTAGTCTGAGCCGCTATGGACCCATCGTGGATACGCTCCCAGTCCTTTTTGCCATGCTCAAACAGATCGGTCCAGGACACGGTCCCTTCGGGAATTGTTTCTCCCCTGGTGTTGAAGATGCGCACATGTGATAAGAAGATATTCAGATCATGCGCAGCTGTTCGGATAGGACTGTAGAGCTCAGGCTCGGTGATAATAAAGCGAACCTGCGCGGTCTGCAGGTGGTGCCTGAGCTCCAAAGGTGTATAAGCCGGGTTAGAGCCTGTGAAAATGCCTCCTATACCGACAATGGCGAGCACGAGCATAGGGTAGTAAATCTAGTGGAGTCTCAGCCATGCTCAAGTGGTGTGCAGTGCGCAATCAATGGTTTCAGTACATCATTGAATGAATGAATATTGACGCAGTCTCCCTTCCGCACGCCCCAGGCATGAAGACCAGCAATCAACTGGCGGACGATGCGACGGGCTTGGTCGTAGCAAATGGATCGAGAGGGCTCATGGACATCCACATAAATCTGCCAAGGTTAGAGCCGGACGAAAAGAAGAATAATAGGTGGTGTCCTTACAGGGGCAGTCCTGTCATAGATCGGGTCTGAGAAACTGTAAGAAAGGACATCAGTAGGGGGCACAGGGGCCCTAGATGGCGGTTCGAAGATCATGGCCGATGGCAAGGCCGAAAAAGCATCAAGAGCAGAAGGAGCTTATAAGAATGAAGTCTTGTATGGACTATCCGAGGTCGCATACACAGAGCTGTGAAATGTGAAGACAATAGACTCTTTCCCAGCTCCCTCGCCGAATGACAATGTTTGAACAGACCGGATACATTCACTGTTCAAGAGATGTCATCTATAGACAGAAGCAGGGCCCATTGCAACTCTTTGGAAAGAACCCAATCGCACCGGGTGATGCCAAATAAGATTACTCTTTGACCCGCTCTCCTGCATTAAGCCAGACGAATGACTTGTTCCATACTACCAGCCATGCCACTGGATTAGTGACATATGCGGTCAGCGCCCATCACCGATCAAAGCCGGACCTTGAACCGAGGATGCGTTCCGAGATCTCCGTACCGCCACAACATATAAATAGCACAGCAAAGGTTAATGAATAAGTGTCCTAGCTCAGTGCAAGCGCTGAGTATGCTACCGGTCTAACGAACATTCGTATGGTTTCGAATAGCGACCGCGGGATAAAGCTGGGTGATGTCTGCGTTGCAGCGTACATTAGACTTAGATCTATTTAGTATGTGCCACAAGACCCAAGAAGAACCATACCGAACAGTCTGTGCCTTTTATAAGAGTCTTTCAATGGGTTTGAGCTTGATAACCAGCGGTCCAAGGGCAGAGCGACAAAACACATCCAGGAGGTCAAAGTGTTGTCCGTATGCTCTTGTTGATTGAGGGGTCGGATCTTGCGCAAAAAGGTGACAGGTGCAATCACAAAAGCATAAAACTCAAAGTACAATTGATGTTCTTATGAAGAATTGCTGACTCGGTTGGATATAGTGTATAGTCATGAGATCAGATGCAGATAGCCGTTTGTGATCGGAGCGAGCTGCAACTTCATCGGACCCAAATGGACGTGAGGAAACATAGTGCACGTCCATTCTAGTCACGTTCGATGATGGGCACTTTGCCATTGAACCGTCCTCGAGCGAAGCTTCGTGCTGCATGTAGTCGAGCGCAGTGACTATTTTTGTTTTCGAGTAGGGTAGAAGGATGTGATATTCAACAACAAGGATGCCCAGTGAACGAACAGGCAGCATTTGCTTAAACTGTGGGAAATGGCGTGTAGAAGATTGAGGCAATCAAGTACAACAGTCCAGCGTGAGGCTGATGATATTGAGCTTGACATGG